TAATAAAAAAGCAAAAGTTTCTGTCAGTATCTATCATTAGCTTTATGTAAAAACTAAATTGAATGTCCACATAGAAGCCAAGTAAACATACATGTGAAGTGAATCCACAAATCTATCTTGTCCTTCATGTGTAAGAAGGTGAGACTGACAGTTTTTTGTGGCATGTTCACACATGTAAGATGAAATATGTCTTCATGTGTCCTGAATATGACGGAGGTATTGTGTGTGTGCGGCACTGGAGAACATGATAGCTTTAATGAGATGGCTGCATATGAAGGACTGTCATTAGTGCTGAGAGAGGCAGCAGCCTGGTGATTGCAGTGATTTGGCTTCGCTCTTTTTGACCTGTCCGACCAATCAGAACACCTCAAGAGCTCGCTTCAAAGCCCATGCAATCAGCCACCACATTGGCCCACTTAGTATACATGTAAGTACAATGTTCTCCAGTAATCATATGCAACAGATGCAGTAAAATGTGGCTGAAATAACACTAAATCAATGTAATAAAAATAAGTCAGCATTTCTGTTTAGTTGTATGTTTATGCTGCACTTTTCCACACAATAAAAGTCAATGGAGTCTGATACTGTCAAACACCAAAACTAAGGGGGAAAATAACTCAAACAGTAGAGCATGGTGCTATAGCAATACTAAGGCCATGGGCTTGATTCCCATTTCCTTGAACTTGATCAAATGTATAACTTGAATACAAAGTAAAGGACTGTTCATACCAAAGACGATAACTATAACAATAAAGACTATTAAGTGTTAATAATTGTTCTTATTCTATTAAAATAGGGATATCCACACCACAACAATAACAGAGCAGAGGAATGGTTTCATTGGAATTACTTTCCAGAATCCTCTTTTTTTTCCCTCCAACTGATGAAAAATAAAACATTGCCAATCAGAATCCACCTGATTTTAAAATGTGTGACTTCAAATTTGGCATAACGCAATCATTAATGACACATTCGTCAACCAATCATTTACGCCAAACTTGGCACGACTATTTATGGAGAAGTGCAGCTTAAAAATTCTTCTAAATATTTCCTTTTGCGTTCCACAGGGGGAAATGGGTTTGAGCACATGATGGTGAGTAATCATGACAAAATCATCTGACTCCCCCCCCAGGGATGTGTGAACTATGGAAGCCCATTTCTGCCACTGAATAAAAATAAAGGTCATTGTGATCTTACAATTCTGACTTTTTTTTCAGAATTGCATGATATTTAACTCGCAATTGCGAGCAAGAAAAGTCAGTATTGCGTGATTTTCTCTCAAGTGCAAGAAAAAAACTCAATTCTGAGGCCATTGCAAGTTATTAAGTCAGAATTGTGAGATATAAAACTTGCAATTCTAAGAATATATCAGTCTTCCCCCCACCCCTCAGAATTGAACTTTAAAACTCACAATTGCGAGTTTACATCAAGCAATACTGACTGTATAACTTGCAACTGAGTTTATATCATGCAATTCTGAAAAAAAAGTCAGAATTGTGAGAGAAAAACTCGCAATTACATTTTATTTTAAATTATTATTCAGTTGTGGAAACGGGCTTCCATAGTAAACTGTTGGGGTTTGAGCACATGATGGTGAGTAATCATGACAAAATCATCTGACTCCCCCCCCAGGGATGTGTGAACTATGGAAGCCCATTTCTGCCACTGAATAAAAATAAAGGTCATTGTGATCTTACAATTCTGACTTTTTTTTCAGAATTGCATGATATTTAACTCGCAATTGCGAGCAAGAAAAGTCAGTATTGCGTGATTTTCTCTCAAGTGCAAGAAAAAAACTCAGAATTGCGAGATTTAAAAAGTCTTAGAATTGAGAGTTTGTATCTCGCAATTCTGACTTTATAACAGGCCATTGCAAGTTATTAAGTCAGAATTGTGAGATATAAAACTTGCAATTCTAAGAATATATCAGTCTTCCCCCCACCCCTCAGAATTGAACTTTAAAACTTGCGAGTTTACATCAAGCAATACTGACTGTATAACTTGCAACTGAGTTTATATCATGCAATTCTGAAAAAAAAGTCAGAATTGTGAGAGAAAAACTCGCAATTACATTTTATTTTAAATTATTATTCAGTTGTGGAAACGGGCTTCCATAGTAAACTGTTGTTTTAAACAACCTGGAAGCAACACCAGTGATTCTATGTAGGGTTAATGGTAGGTGTGATACGAGTCTTAGAAAGAGAAAACACAAATAGCAACATCTAAGCTATTCAATCTGACTTGTATTTTCCAAACTATTTAGTCTGCGATAGAGGAAAACAAGTTTCATCAACTTATCTTCAGTCTTCCCACCTGATAAAAGCAGATAAACCATTATGAGAATGGTAGGCTGAAACCCTGTCACCTTTGTCCATGCCTTTCGCTAAGGAAAAAGCAAGAAGAGTTTGTTTCTCAAGGTGATTGTAGCAGTGATAAGAGAGCAGTTCTTATTAGGGGTGACAGCAAAGGGGCTGTGGCGTTAGTACTGACTGTATAACCTTGTGCCTGCTCGCCCTTCTGCGCCAGGCTCCTCTGCCTTGCCTCGGCGGGGACACAATCTGCTAGCTGGAATTACCTCGCAGCTGCAGGAAAACTAAACATGATTTCTGACCTTTACTTCTTGTGTTCAACAGTAACCTTTGGTGGTCCGCTTGCACAGACGGGCTGAAATGAATTCCCGACCGCTGCGCATGCGATTACGTGCATGTTGAGGCTGAGAATGATGAGAAAATCAGCAGTTGAAAGATGTTCCTTCAGTTGCTGTCCTCTGTCTGGGAACCTGCTAGCTTGAAATGTTAATTGAAGTCAAATTGCTTCGACAGAGTTTGGAAACCTTAAGATACAAGGTACCTAGTCTCAGCCTCAGACGTCACGCCCACGTGTGTGTCGCGTTCTTTAACGTTCCACCTGGAAACAAAGATGCCGTGATGCCAAACCCCCCCACGAAAGAAGAAAGCCGTCGTGTTTACAACTGTGACAGCGAGCGCTTATCAGGATCAACTAAACACTGGATTTTCAACTGACTGTATAACCTTGTGCCTGCTCGCCCTTCTGCGCCAGGCTCCTCTGCCTTGCCTCGGCGGGGACACAATCTGCTAGCTGGAATTACCTCGCAGCTGCAGGAAAACTAAACATGATTTCTGACCTTTACTTCTTGTGTTCAACAGTAACCTTTGGTGGTCCGCTTGCACAGACGGGCTGAAATGAATTCCCGACCGCTGCGCATGCGATTACGTGCATGTTGAGGCTGAGAATGACGAGAAAATCAGCAGTTGAAAGATGTTCCTTCAGTTGCTGTCCTCTGTCTGGGAACCTGCTAGCTTGAAATGTTAATTGAAGTCAAATTGCTTCGACAGAGTTTGGAAACCTTAAGATACAAGGTACCTAGTCTCGCGTTCTTTAACGTTCCACCTGGAAACAAAGATGCCGTGATGCCAAACCCCCCCACGAAAGAAGAAAGCCGTCGTGTTTACAACTGTGACAGCGAGCGCTTATCAGGATCACTGGATTTTCAAAAGTATGTGTAATATTTAAATTTTGTGGCATAGAATCTTTAAAATACGTCCGAGAGTTTTACACACCGGTCTGTTAGTGTGGCGACATTACCACGCCCTGAAACGTGATGCTGGATGAAACGAACTGTGATTGGTTGTTTGACATGTCGGTCAAACGGCCTCATGGGCGGGCCTTGGCCAATGAAAGCCCATGGATTCCAGAATGACGGCTGAAGGTCTGGCTACGCGAGACTACAAGGTACCTTATTTCTCCCCCCACACACACACACACAAATGTAGCTGCTAAAGCTAACGCAAACTTAACACTTGGTTTGAAATGATATATTCACAGAGCAGATGCCATGATATGTCTTGAGCTACTTTATTTCTGCTACGCCAAATGTAGCTGGTAATGCTACTGCAAATGTTGATACTGTTAGAAATGATATTTCAAGCAAAGCTTTATTCTTAGTCCAAGTGTATAGATGACTCACAGAATACTCAAAGCTAGGTGGATGGGTTTTTAAATATTCAACTTAGCCTATGCTTATGTGTGAAGAGGATTAGCATATATTTTTCAGACATTTGGACCAGCCAAGTGTAATTGAAAGGAGTAATCTGGACCCTTTTTCACCCTTTCTGAGGAAAAGCTACAATTACTTCTGCCGTACTCGTTCTTTTCTGCTTATTACAAGCTTATTCCACCAATAGCTTCTTTTAGCATGCAAGCTAGAATGCATGTGCATGTTGAAAGAGGGTTCCTTCCGATGAACTCATTATTCCGCAGCACTCACCCCACTCACTGACACACTCCACATCTACCCCTGACTGTCACATCTGAGCAAATTCATGCAATCGTGCCCACAATCCTTTAGACTGGAGATAATGCAGGCATGGTGAAGTGCGGCTAAATCTTAACCACAAGTGGAACCTAGCAGTTAGTCAAGGCGCTGAGGGGAAAATTGACCCGTTCCATTTTAGTTGAGAGGTTGAGCATGTGCATGTTTTTCAATATGTGTTGAAGCACAAGATTGTGGCAGAATTTTCATTTGACTCAAATTTGAACTTAATTCCAAATGTAAGGCTGGGTTCCATTTGTCCATGAAACATGCACAGAAAATTCAGCAAGTAAATGTTCTTTTAGTTATTAATTCAAATAAGCTACATTATCTCATTTTACACGTGAATTTCAACACCAAAAGGGGAACAGGAGGATCACCAATGCATTTCAAACAACTGCTTCCATGGACTAAGTTTTGGAAAATCCATATACTGTACTGGCTGGCCTATGTGGAGTAATTCTATGTTATTTCTAGTCTAGGAGGGAAAATTAAGACATGTAACCTGTCATTGAGATGATTCCACTAAAAAAAGACTAGATGGTTGGTGTTGGGGGTATCTGCTCAAGGGGGTGGGACTTTGGGGGGGGGCAGAAGATCAAAGTGACTAAAGCTGATTTATCCTGTGTTAGAGCTCAAATGCCTCTGAGAGGCAGTGAACAGCCCTTCAAAAAGCAATAGCAGCCACCTTTATATCCAGCCTGTGCCTGTCATCAGGCTTGCCTGTGAAGCAAAATCAATCTGTTTCATATCGGAGATACCAGGGGAGAGGGAGAGAGTGTGTGTATGTGAGTGTACAATCTGTCCCCAAAGCTCTTTTTAATGACACATGCTGCATAACAGAGCAAGGATAGAAAAGGGTTCAATAAGGCAAACATGCTGTTATCTGGAGATGAGGACTAATATAAAAAGGCTCAGATGGTACAGAGGGAGATGTCAATCAAACATACTTTAATTTCTTTCATTTCAAATTCCCTTCCTTTTCTGCTCAGCGTGGACACACTTGCTTGGGCAGAAGTCCTCGCTAGCAAAACAGCCTTGGTAAAAGAACCACCCAAACAGCAAGTCAAATAATATTACACACAGTCAAAATCATGTGTTTGGCAATGTTTACAAGCACTTACGGCGTCCTCATAAATTCAGAAATGCACCTTTTATCAGGCAGCACACTGTTCATTTAATGATAACCCACATTATTAATTTAACTAGGCAGCATGTCAATCAGGAGACCCGTCCAGGAGATTCCTTCTAATCCATGACCGCATGCCGATTGAAATTATTAAAAAAAACATCTAGAAGAACAATTTAATCACATTAGCACCATAGACTTAATAACCACTGACTGAAATTCCTTGTGGATGAGGTTCCTTGAGGTTTAGAAGGTATCTTCCTTTGTTTTTCTTTGTACAGGTGTGGTGACCTTTCAACCACTTAATGAGATTACGAGCATAATTAGAACTGGAGCCACTGAGGGTCCCAACAGTCAACCCACCTGAACTCGAGAGAATAACTAGTGTCCATCTGGGTGCCACCTCGGAATTAGAGAAAGTAACGTAATTAAGTCCTAACGCATGGATCCTCAACTACCCTAGGGACTAGAGGACGTGCCCACGAAGAAAAGGCAGCATTAGCTCATATAGCTTGCAAGCACTGCCTAAAGCAATAGCAAGTCTGTCAAAGCAGGACACTCTAGGATTGGCAAAGAAATCCCCGGCAACCATTAAAGTCATAACGGTGTTGGATTGCTCCTAGGGTGCTACTCTGAGCTGTTCATTTAGGATGATGTGCAACTATTGGGCCTGACCTAAGCACATTCTCCATCTCCAACATGGTCACAGAGAGGAAGGCAATAAGGGACCTAAGGAAACCCAATGGGTGCCTAGGGACTGCTAAGGCTGGCCACTCACAGGGAAGTCCAAAGACAGCAAAGTGTCAGAGTCAATGCGAACACACACCTCTACAATGGCAAAATCAATGGGGTTTTATGAAGCATCAATCTCCTCTACAAAGGCCTGCTTATCTACTGCTGGGATGGACCACTGGATGTGGGACTTTGACATTCACCATTTTCCAAAAATTGCCAGGGAAGGTTTTTTTTATTTTGTTGACCCATGCCTGATGGTTTCTCTCATTCCCTTAAAGATTCTTATGTCTGCAAGGTGGTCAAATTGGGGGCATTTTTTAAAAAATTAATTGATTTTTATAATTCCTTTGGAATGACAAAAGAAGTTGTCCATTTAGATTAGGGAGGGGCAACTCTACTCTTGGAGGGCCACTGCAAATTGTAGTTCCAAATCTAATCAAACACACTGAATTTTCAAATACTGAAGACTTTGTTCAGGTGTGTTTGATTAGGGATGAAACTAAAGTCTGCGGGGACAGTAGTTTCACTGCTGCCAATGCCCGGTTAGGACCATCAAATGAAAAAACAGAGCTAGAAAATACCCATTTTGCTCTCTTTTACACCTTTTCAAGATCATTAAATCCTCCACCACAGGATGTTTGCGTGGGCGATTCCAATAGACAGATCTATTTACAGTAAACAGCAGATTTCATGCTAGAGACCCAGAATTAAGGGTCTTGGCAAGCGTCCTGCAATATAATTGATTGTTAGACAAGTTGTGCATCCTCAGCCAACCTCGCTCTTCCTTTCCCCCAGCATCTATCCCTATGGCATTTACACCTTTTGTTTACAATATGCCCCTTGATTTGACCAGACATCAAGTTGGGGGTCTGGGGCTCAGGGCTCCCGTTTCAATATCTAAGCTAATTACTTTTTATTTTACAGTGTGTCGTTAATGGGTTTGGCAGGGGGGGCAAGGTTAGACAGGCAGCAGAAGCCACTTCCCTTCCGTTCACTAGCACCATGGCCTCCATAATTAAAATGAATAATCTGGGCATCCATCAGATAGACGGAGAGTCAAAGAAAGAGAATTGTGAAGATAGGAAGGAAGGCCCTGCTGAAAATTTCCATGCAGGGTTATAGTAGCAGGTGGGTCTGTTTTTGACCAACATGATCCTTCAAGAACTAATTGACGGAAATAATCTAAATGTCTAGTAGGTTCATCAGTATACCAGGATCTCATATTGGGTACCAGCATCCAAAACACAACAAACATAGGTAGCCAGTTTTGCTGATCTTTTCAGCAGGGAGAAAGGTGAGCAAGTTCATGTATGTTCATACAAAAGATACATCAAGAAAAAAAAAGAACAAGACAACTACCTCCACGGCTCTCACTATCAGCTGGCTTCACCTGGATGGGGCGAGTCATCTGGAAGAAGAAAGACAGTACAGACAAGACAAAGGGTTAGTTCAGGCAAAGGCAAGCACTGTCACCACAATAAGCCAACAGCCTCAAACTATTGAGCCTATGTCCGTCACAAAAAATCCTGTCTAAGTTTGGATCAAATGCAAAGATCCACATGTCAGTTTGCAGGGCACATACAAAATACAAGAGTGGTGATTTGTACCATCATGCCTTCATGTTACTCGCACCCTGTTTCTATTTTTGAAGTGCTGCATAGCTACTCCAGGCACAGTTCTTGTTTTCTCCATCTGAAATAGAAGTATTTGCAAATATCCTGTGTTTGCATTGAATACCATTTTATTTAAGCATTCAATCAGCACCAGGGCATATGGGGACAAGACAAAACCCTAAAGACACCTCTGATTTATTATATTCAGGTAAGTCAGTTCACTCAGAAACCATATTGCTAACACTCCAGGCAACTGTAGGTACAGCGTGCATCTACTTATACAGGTAAAGACTGAAATCCCAAAAACTTTTCACCACAATTACACTTCAATGACACATTTCAAATCAGGAATCGAATACAACAATAGTGGTATCTTAAAATTCGCTTCTAAAGTCCATCTCCATCTCTGAAAAATCTCTGGTCTCATTAGCAACCTTTTTTGTGTGTTTCCTTCACAGTGCTCGATTGGTTACAGTCTCTAGCGATGGTGGCAAGGAGGAAGTGAAATGCAACAACAATTAAAGTGGAGGCAGCCGCGAGAGAGAGAGAGAGAGAGAGATCAATGAAGCCCTATTGATCCCTGCCCCTTAGGCTGTGGAGAGTGTCTGGCAAGGAGGGATTCTGTGGGTAGAAGGCTCACGGTAATCTACTAAAGCCTGATAAGAATGGCATTTGTTGGATTAGATGCCTCTGTCATCACAGTTTTTGTGCTCCGTATTTCGCTCAACAATTTTTTTCCATTATCCCTGTAAAGGTTGAAGTTTGATTGGTTCTTATTCTACAAACTTGAGCAAAACAGAAAGAAAACATATATTGTTTGTTTGTTTTTCCTTCATTTGCCCATCTTTCAAGGATTCAAACGGATTTTGCTGCAGGATCAAAGGATGTTCAAAGGGTTTTTTTTATTCTCCCATTTATTCCTACCTGGGGATGTAATGTAGAAAGGAATACTATAAGTGTGGGCTATTGGAGCAGTAAAGCAACTTTATAAAGTGACTTCTTAATATTTGATGTCCTTTCTTTCAGGGTTTATTTTGTGATAAAGCACATTTGATTCATTAGCATACATGCTGATTAATATAGAGTTTTAAAGTTATGGTTACACTTTCTTTAATTGTTGAAAAACAGGACAGATCCTGTCCTAAAGGCCTAATTTACACTATAAAATCCATTCCCCAGCATCGTAATCCAATGGGAGCTTTCTATCAATCCAAAACAAACTGCTAATAGCAACAAAGCAGGCCCAGTTTGCATGAAAAAGGGCCAAGAGCTGTACGGAGATTTGCGACAAGATTACCCAAATTTGCGAAGTGCCCTTTGCAGGCTCCCCAGCCATCTGTAACCTGAAATTAAGCCTTTTTGAATGCTGCAGCAACTTTAGTTTCATGTCGACGCCAACTCAAGAGCCAGGGAAACGTTTCAGAGACGACAGGATCAACATTTTTTCTATCTCCTCAACATATTTTCTTTTACTGTCCAATTGTGTGTGTGTGTGTGGGGGGGGGGGGGGGGGGGGGGGGGGGGGGTTCAGGTTTTCAAACTGAAAAAGGTCAGTTTTAAAGACAGGCCAGTCCCATAAAAGCATGACTTGTTCAAGGAGAAACACCATAATGGGATTTTAAAACACCTTAATAACATGCTGATATATGAGGAAGACGGCCAGGCCAGATTCATTAAGTGTTAAACGTATCCATTTTCACCTTGAGGAACTGAATAACCTTCCTCTGAGAAATTATTCCATAAATGTATCCATCGTAAATAATAACTAGCAAGGTCTAAGTCTTTGTGCAAAGGGGAAAAGGCAAAAGATATAATTCTTTTGAAGGTCAGAGTTCAGTAGCTTTGTCATACACTTACAAAAAACAAAACAAAAAATGTGTCTATTTGAAATACATTATGACAACTCAGACGTTTTCAAGCATAAAGACAAAAACAATCCAACAGGCATAATTGTGAGACATAACCATTCCAAACAAATCACCTGACAAACACAAACAGTGGCCCACATTAGACAAAACAGACGCTTTTATAAACATCACAATATGCATGCAACACTGGATGCAATGCCTGGTAATAAAAGAGATTCTGTTTTGCGAGGGAATGCATACAGAACTACCTCATACCTGTAAACGCCATCAGTGAGATGCATTCCTAACACACTGGACTTTGGTGTAAGGTTTATGGATTCACCTCTCTACCTAGTCACTGTCCTGGTCATAAAATGCTGGTGTAATGGTACATTTGTTTTCCCAAGAGCAATGTGTTTCTCCCTTGTACATTTAGTATCGACGGAACTCAGTTTATTGGATTTTTCTCACCTCTAATGGAATGGCGTACACTTCAGGTACACACATTTACTCACTCACTCACTCACTCACTCACTCACTCACTCACTCACTCACACACACACACACACACACACACACAAATTCACATATTTTGATTCCCATTGACTTCCATAGTATAGACTTCCATGGTGTGTGTGAATATATACTAAAACCTAAACCTAAACCTGAATTAAAAAGAAGTTAAAGCTAAATGGAAATATTTACAAAAACTAATATAAATGACAAAAGAGCATAAAACTTAAAGGGTTAGTTCACCCAAAAATGAAAATTAGGCTGTTTTTTACTCACCCGCGAGGCATCCTAGGTGTATATGACTTTCTTCTTTCAGACGAATCCAGTCGGAGTTATATAAAAAATTGTCCTGGCTATTCCAAGCTCTATCATTGTTGTACACTGGAAGCAGTTCCGGGCGGATGACGTAGGACGTTGGCGTTGTGCATGCGCTGCTCAGAAGTGACGAATGCGGAATTGCAGGGGAGAAATCAAAACAAAACAACGGTCACTAATTAGAAGTACAAAACGAGGATTTGTAAAGAAGAATGTCGGAGAATTTCGATATAAGCCAAGAGGAGACTGGTTTTCCTTTGCTAAAGTAAGGAAACTTTGCTTCCTTTGCTCCTGTTAACAAACGTTGGTTTTCACGAGACTCATGCTTGCGCAAAGCCGACCTCATACGTCATCAGCCTGGAACTGCTTCCGTGTACAACTATTGGCGCAAGCTACATTAAAGTGATTATCACGTTTTGAATATGGTTATTTTTCTTACAAAAACGCATCAATTTGCTACTGGAGGCCCCCCGGAGCTGTGTGAGACACTTTTTTTTATGGATGGGCTCTTTTTATTTCACTTCTTTTGGATTGCAGCACTGCAACACCCGCTGACTGCAGTGATAGAGATTGGAATAACCAGGACAATTTTTTATATAACTCTGACTGGATTCGTCTGATAGAAGAAAGTCATATACACCTAGGATGTCTCGAAGGGTGAGTAAAACACAGCCTAATTTTCCATTTTTGGGTGAACTAACCCTTTAAACATTAACATGAAAATTGAAAATATAAAAATAAATAATACTGTATAAATAATATTTTTTTTAAAACTGATATTAACATATAACTACTTGAGACAACATTTATTTCTGTCCAAGTATAAATGATAAGTAAATAAATAAGATTACTTATTAAATCAAAAGCATTTAAACTATATTTTGGATGTGGTGGCATCACTGCTGCAAACAATTTAAAAAGTGGTGAGGACATAATTGACAAAGGCCATCCTAACCATAAATTACATCTCTGTTTACATTTACATGCGCCAGAAACAAAACAGCCGGCAGCTGACAAACTTGTGCTGTCGCCAGGGAAAGCATTCATTTAGCTTGAGTCCTGAGAGAGTTCACTACGCCTCTCCGCTGCTTTTGTTCCTTTATTGCCCAAGCGTTCTTTACTCATAAGATAAAACGAATGAGTTCGCCTTATGCTGTGTTTCTTGCAGAAAACAACTACACGTGTTCTAATTGTGATAGATTCAAAGAGGTTTCCACACTCGGAATGGCGAATGCACCGAGGTCCAGGACAAAAACAGAGGGATGGAGGGGGCTGTAAAGGATGGAAGGCAAAGGAGAACTGCCTGCAACTGCCAGATAAGATTGCTTCTCAGTTGAGTGGCATTTCCAGAGCCGTGACTCCACCCTATTGCTCCCCCACATATGCTGATAGACTCATGCTGGCGGAAACGCACACTTATACATTTCCCGCCCGCAGCAAAAGCACCAGCGTCTCTGTGTTTGCCAATCTGTTGTTTAAACTCAGCGGAACAATTCAAATCCCCACGTCCCAACAGGACTGTGTCAGTTGCATCTCGTTTGGGATGATGCACACGCTCCTCCGGTCCCCAGCAATCCCGACCGGCGAGTATGGGAACGCATTCTTCGGGATTTCTGACGTAGCTACGGGAGCAACTGTCTCTTTGTCCTTGTCATCTGTTTCTTTAAGCACACAATACTCGATAATCATGTTGTTTGCTGTGCTGCTGTATTTCAAAAGGGGGAGCTATCAAACAGGGTAAACAAAATACAGTGGGGGATATGAAACAGCCATTCTCCTGAGAGACAGTCTGTTCTCCTGTAGTGATGTTTGATTAGGCACCGCTGTGCTGGGGTAGATAGAAATTCAGTACAAGCTGCTCCGAGCAAATCGGGACTGTGCCTTGTTGCCTCCGTCTATGATGAATGTGAAATAATTCCCGTATTTGTTTTACGCTGTTCTGTCATAAATTGCATGCGGGACAAACAGTCAACATGGACGAAATGCATGGTTTGCTTTGGTTTTTACAAACTGTGAATGAGAAAAAGACACTGTTTTCCATAGCAGCCAAACTAGAATGTTTATTGTACACTATTTTTTTTCCAGGTCAGTGGCATCGTAGAGTCACGGCTTGCAGAATC